AAGATGTTACTTTTCCAGCACAAAAATTTGTCTGTTTTAGTTATTTCATTTGTATGACAGTTTCTCGAGAAGTTTACGCGGCGTAGTAGTCCTACCTATTTGCCTAAGCAGCTGAATCTGAATAGTCAACAAATGCTTCTACAGATGCTCTTAAATGAGCAAATTTTGGTAGATGTCAACTTGAAAACTCAAGATAGTAGATTTAAAGAAAATTGATAATTCAACAGCTTATTTATTAGAATAACCTGTTGAAAAAAACTGTAATTTCTAGAAGCCTCAAAAAAAATGGTAACCAAATTATCAAAGACTGTGAAAGTTTTGTCCACGTTACTGTAGCAGCCCATTGGAAAGACAGTCGGACTTTAATCAGAAATGCAAACTCAAATGGTTATCGTCGCAACGAGAGACACGGTGGCACACGGAAAGCAATCTAACCATACAGAAGATGTCGCTAAGCAACGGTGGTGTAGAAGTGAGATACCCCAAGAACTGCGGAGGGGTTTGCAGTGGGACTATAATTATTAACAAATAAGTTTTACAAAGGAATGATTTACCAAATTAGCTCCTCTGTAAGAAAGGACATAAACGCAAGAATTTCCACCTTTTTGGCTCTTACAACAAACGAGAAAGCAGAGGATTAACGGCCACAAATGAACTCGATGAAGCAGCCAAAGTGCAATGAGAAATCTGCGAAAATTACGGTGAAAAAAATCAAGGCACTTGGAAAAACCCGAGCATTTGATAATATATTAACTGCATAAACTGGGTGATGCGCTCACAAATCCACACTTACTGCCTTTGCAGTAACTGTACAGATAAGCAAATGATAAACCGATTATTAAAGATAAAAGTATTTGCTGCGTTGAACCCTTAACCTATGAAGTAGAACTAAGTAGAGTAGTTAGTTACAGACTGTAACTGACGGGTTAGTTGGTTTCATTGTTTGTAAGTGAAACAATTCACCAAATTTACTACTGCTAGCTGTCTTGTGATGAACATCTCGTCTTCTTTTATTTCGAGTCAGGTTCCTCTTCCATGCACTCCTCGAAGATTTCTTGGAATCTGCAATTCCATACAGATATTCAAATTTCTGGCGCATTTATTATAATTGTTTTAGAGTGTCTTAGAAAGACAGACGGAGTTATTTGCAAAATTCTTACATTACTATTGTAAACAAAATTTTTTAATTGCTATGCTGTATTTCACTCAAACTAAGTTGATGCAGATAAAAAAATTGAAGTATGAAAACAAAGTTTCCGAATGGTATTCTAATACCGTTTGCTGAAGCTTTAGAGAAAAGTTTCAGTACATGAAAAAAAAAGACCTTTCCGCTGTCTTTGGATGAATAACTTGGAAAGAAAAAACTTCATCTTCTTTTGTCAATTTGAACACGATGCCGTCGTCTTTAGCTGGAGTGGATGAGAATCGGAATCCTTCAAGTGTGTAGTCGTTATAAGATTTGTTGTCCTATAACAGTTTCTTTAAAATTATTCCTTTGTTCAAATATCTTCGGATGTCACAGTGCATTGAAAAACCGCTTTCGGCCAAAAATATTTACTTGACCATATGAACAGTGTTTAAAACTTGCCATTTCAGAGTTGTACAGTGACAGTACCCACGGATCCGTCATGAAATCTTTCTTCAAACAGCCCCACTTAGTCTTTTCAATCCCTAATCTGCTCCTAAAATAATCCTTTTATTTATCTGATAATAATCCTTTTTATTAAATAATTCACTATAAATTACACGACGTTTTAACAAGAGAAAAAAAACGCCTTTTTAAAAATGTGCAAAATTTTTTTAATTGCTGCATACTTCCATACTTCACCACTAATTTGAAACTATTTCAACAGTAAAAATAGAAGATGATAACTACTCTGAAGAGAATACAGTCGACTGAAAACAGGCTAGTATTAAAGTATTTTTATGAGAAAAAATGTGAAGATTTTTATCTTTATGAGGATTTAAAAATGGTACAGCAAAGTGATACGTGTATAAAGTAAAGGAAACGAGTTTAGTAAAACTACAGAAATTTTGCTTGTGGAATTTATTAAATTCTTTCACAATGAACAACTATAGTGATTGGTATCAAAAGATTCTGATAAACAATATCTAAATTAAAGGTTTTGCTGCTCTAGCATTTACGAACATAAATGGGCTGACACTTTTGAGGCAAGTTAATTGGTCTTTTTGATTCTTCTGCCTTAAAAACTGATTGACTACCGGAGTTGAAAGGAAATAGACTTTTACCTGCCTACTATTCAGAAAATTTTGAGCAACCACAGTATACAAATTTTTTGACGTCAGTAAGGCAGCCGCAGCAGAACTAGCCTGTCGCATGTCGAATGGACAGTTTGAAGAAAACCTTGTACCCGCATTGCGTTTTATCCATAAAACCTTCTTCTGCATTGGAGCTAACTAAGGACTTCGAGACATCTGAGCAGATTTCTGCATTTGCCTTGACTATAAGAAGTTGGACTGGACGAAATGTATGGTGTGGCAGTCGATTTTGACTACGAAACAACTTATTTTTTTTCATCAGTAGTTTATTCTTATCTTACGCTTTTAAAATTTCAGGCTTAATTTTGTTCGCTTTTGCGTTTCCAAGAATTGGCTTTTCTTCTTTTTTCTCGGCATTCAGCGATACACGTTCAGAAACTTGTAAGTTTTTGATGCATCGTTCCTCTGGTGCTGCGTACAGCAGTGTCCCTTAACCCTAACAAGTGGAAGTTTTGATACTGCCTTCTACTCGATTACCTTTCGAATATATCCATCTTGCTCCCTGGTCATCCAACTATATTAAATTTTGACCCAAAACAATGTTCTTCAGATTCAAATGAATACAAAGTGCTGTCAAACTGTTTACTGCGTCATCAAAAGCAAGCTTTTTCTTCATTTTTTTCTATCTAATTGAAGATAATGCCACTTTCAAACGTAAAATTTGACAGATTACCACTTTAACTTTTTAAGAGCCATCAAAACCCTTACATGGTATGGTTAAGAAACGGTGCAGTGCGTTTAAAGTAATCAATACTGATAGTCAAGAAACATTGAACTCATAGGATAATTTATTCTTTACCTCCGTATTGAATTCTCTGGAGGTTATTTTGAAAATTTTTGACTCAACGATACATACGTAGCAGATTGAAAAGAAAAAGGTTGGTTGGGTTGACGACGACAGGTGCATATGGTCCTTTCCAGCCAACAAATACTAAGGTTTCAGCATTAACTAGACTTTTAAAATGCAGTGTAATGTGAGCCACATAGTTTTTATTTGATGCTGAAACGATCTTATCTCAGATAGAAACTGAACAAATCACCCCAGGTTCGCCGACGGATTACGTAGATTTCAATCTTAGTGCTAATCTTCGAAGCAAGATATTTTTCAGCGCAAAAAGAAATTAAATGATGACGTGAAGTAAAATATTCTCGAGTTACTGCTGTTTATAAAATATGACAATTTTTGATTTGAGCCCGATTTACGCAAATCTGTAATGTCGCTGGAATTCAGAAAATCTTAAATTATTTTGCAACCCAACGCTTGAATATTCTGCATGTGGCGTTATAGCATCTTCGCAAATTGTGTTCTGATGGCAAAATTGATAAAAGAGTGGAAGAGGAGGATGGAGACAAGCAAGCACAATAGCGCGTTTAAATTCCTAAGAAGCGCCCTAAAACGGACACTACCAATTGGTCTGGCTGTAATCTCGCTACAGTTCTGTATTTACAAGTCTTAGAAGGGTCCTTTATTTACAGTGCTATCTTACTTCGTTTGGAAACTATTTTCGGAAAGCTTGTCTCTGGCATTTTCGGGTTGCATTTTTGGTAAACATTTTGTCTCTTTGAAGATCGTTTTACAGGTTTTCATATGTTGCTGAAGAACTTTCACTTGGTTCCAGAAACAGTTCCCGCTCACTTTTACACTATATTTATTTTCAAGTAACGCCGTGCCTTACCTGATTACGACAGTTCCTGAAACAATCTGATGGACATTCTGATGGATGACCTTTTTTGGACGGATGCCGTTTGGTGGATCTTCGAATATGTCTCTCAGCTCATAATCCCTTAAGAATAACATTCAGTACCGCTAATGCTATTCATTTTTTAAACAATTAAGGCATTGAACTAACTTTCCTTCAATATTTACCATCGTTTTAACGCGTGTGCTTTTGTCTTTGTCCTCATACTGAACTACCCTTGATTGTGAAAGAAGCTGTCCACGATTAACTACAATCAAATCAATACTAGGTTAGTGGACACTAAAAGAAACTAGAGCAAATTCAAAATTGCACTACAGAACAACTGATATGAAAGATAAGTTACTTTAAAAGACGTCAAGTTCAATAAGTCTACGTACAGAGATCACATATAGTTTCGTAGCACTCCGCGCACACTTTGCCGATTTTATATTCTCCACTTTTTTTGCACTTGTATGGAGCTCTTCCAGCACAGTTTTCACACATTATCTGCAATCTAGTAAACCGCTGAAATTGAAAAAAAGAAGAACACTCGAGAAAGTGGATAAAAGTAGTACCCAATTGCATTTTTTGCATTGGAGTTTTTTGTGTCTTATACCAAACTTTGTACCGCACCCTTCCATCATGCACATTGTAGTTTTCTCTGGTACTAGCAACAGTTGTGGTTTATCTGGTGAGTGTAAGTCTAAAGAGAATTATCTGCATAAACCAAAACTTTCCTTCATAAGTCCCTAAAATTTAAGCATATGCAGTTATACTGCAAGAACTCTCCTTGTTAGAGGAGACTTATTATTAAAGCAAAGTTACAGTAATTTTTAGCTACATAACAGGTTTACCGGAAGATGTGGTTGCCATGCTGCCGCTCTCATAATCAGAGCTGGGTTCTCTATCCATATCAAATTGAGGATTGCGACATGCCTTAAAATACTTTATTTATAAACAAGTACGCTTAACTTTTTACCAATAAATATATTAATAAAACCAGGACTGCACTGGTCCCAAGCAGCGTTTTCATTTTAGAGAATAATTCAACAAACCCCGCTAACTGCGTCGTTTATTTTTTCAACCCATTTATCCCTTTCCGTCTTTGAGCTAAAAAAGTACCATTTGTATGCAAAATGGAGTTGAAGATCTAAAATAAGTAACTAAACAGAGTTTGAAAAGCAGAGTCCTAAATTTGAATAAAAGCCATGTATTGTTTGTAGAGGAAACCTGACTGCAAAAGTTAGGACTTGAGAAGAATCATTATTTTGTATTTTGAACTGATCTTCTCTTTCCAAATGGTCATCTTCGAAGACATCAATATCTGACAGATTCCATACTAAAAATTGGCTTATAGGCTCTTCGGAGTCAGCATCACTTTTCGTTATCAACAGACAGTCGGAGAACTGAATAATTAACACATTTTAGTTCATTTGAATTATCAGAGAGTTGATGAAGCTGACGAGAAACTACCAAATAACTCTTTGAAATCAGTAAATTCTCAAAAACCAATCTGAGCCGTCTTTTTCAAGTTGCAGCTTTAACTACTTTTATAATCTAAGCTGGTAGTTTTGATATTTGATTTGAGATTCTCAGAGCTCTTTTCTGAATGGGCTAACACCAAATAACAAACCAGAATAAGATATTTCTTTTTCCTCTTACTGCCATTAACTTTCCATGCTTCTCCATCATGCACCAACTGGCGTTTGGTACTCGTATCAAATCGAGCGTTCTATAAGTGGATTTTTACTTTTTTTACTCTTATGGTTTAACGGCATCTACAGTGATAAAAAATTACTTTTAAACGTTCCATTATTTTCTGATATAGCTCTTCTTTATGTATGCGATTCAGGCGTCTGTTAATTTCATCAGTGACGTTACGTACCATCTGGGCAGCTACTTAACAATAAATTTTGTAATTCAGATCATTTCTTGGTTCAGAAATAAGACTTGCAAAAGCAAAAAATATCACCAATTTAAACAGCAGCAAAACTTACCAGTCATTTAAGTTTCTGTAATTATTCCACTAATCAGATTTGTAGGGAAAATTTCTGATATATTGTATTTATAGAAAAATTTGAGGCGTTTTGTGGAAAAATCGCAGCAGTTTTTCGCAACATGAATCTTTTTTGGTGAGCAGGAAATACTGCATTGATTTAGTAGAGTTAAATTTTCTTTCAATTAAAAAGTTAATCCTATATTTTTATGGAGGTAGAAAGTTTTTATGGCAAAAATGAGGTGCTTTAAAAGCCGCTTGTGTTTTTGGTCAAGAATCTTGACTACGTAGTGTAGTAATGTTTTGAATGATAGAGAATAAGCCAAATGAAACGCTGCCAAAAAAGCCTTTCAATGCGACAGGCTTACAGCTCATAAATTCTTCTGAAGAACTATTGTGCAAAAACAGTTTTTCTACCCTCTCTCTAAACCCTATTTTTACTAAAAATCTTGGCTACTTTTAATATATTGTATGATAGCTGTTTACAACTGTAAAACTCAAAGATGGCTTCGTTTAAAAAAGGATTAGTGAATTTGTCCGCAAATGACATAATTACCAATTTGCACGCGCAGCCCTGACCACCAAAAAAACCTCATGTTTTTATTTACAAAAGACTTAAGAAAAACTTTAAAGCTTTTGTTTTACGCGATATGAATTGGTGGAGAACTCAATTCCGAAATACCCGGTTCTGATTTTGAGATCAGTTGCCTTAGTTTACTGTTTACATAAGTTTCTGAAAAAGCCAAGATACCTGTTAATTAAAGTATGATCTTCTATGATCTTATCAGCTTTCCACATCTTTCAAAATTAACTTTAGCGGCAATATTAATTTATTGTAAACTAAGACTGGACAAGTTACTGCTTATGGTAATTATAACAGTTCTGTGAAGGCAAAGAGTGCTGACTTGGTAGTGTTAAAATTGCAAGCATCAATCGGAATTAGCTTTACACAGAACTTAGGATTCCTTAACCCTTTGAAAAAACCCTTGCTTCACTACAACAAGCAGAAATTTTACCAGTCAACAGTTCCAAGACAAATACAAAATCCTCTAAACAGCTAAAAAGATCTAGTTAATTAGATACGAAAACAATCGAGAAAATAGTAGTAACTCAAGAAAAAAAGAAAACTGGTCTTTTTACGATGTAGTCTCATTCACACATGCAATTTCTAAAGCTCAATTATTGAAAGTTAGGAAAACTTGTTGTTAAAAAAAGTTTGAATGGTTGCTTATATAACGATCCCTAAGGTAATGTTAAAAAGTGAAATTAGTTGTTACTTTGTCAACGACAAAGCACCAATCGCAAAAAAAATGTTCAGGTCCTCCCGATTCTTCTCAGAATCATGATAAAAAAGTTACTATCTCACCAATCACTACCTCATCAAGTCCCCACTGCTGGTAAACTACAGAAACAAGCGACAAACAAAAAAGAGGAATTGTTATCACCAAAGCTCGAAATCAGACAGTGCTCTACCTAATTTTCTCTAAAAAGGTTCTTCAAAAGAGATGATTCTCACCCAAAATAAATCCCCCTAAAGTTTTTTGTAATTGATTTAATTTGCCATTTCAAAAACTTTAAATTTGCTCACCTTAGAGCCGACTAAGATTTGTGCTTCAATACCGGTTACCTAAACTGCTGCACTGTTCTTTGCACAATCTCACGCTATAGAGCGCATATCACACATACATTTACTAACTTACTGATTTAAATTTGGTTTTCCATTAAACCAAACGTTTACTTCTTTTTAATGATTATCAATATTAAGGTCTGTTCAGCCAAATCTTAAAGATGCAAACAAGACGCATGTCGGCGTAATGAAATTAAATTACCCCTCTGACATTACCCTTTTAAAATATTGGAGGACGTAGTACTGCTGTGAGAGCAAACGACTTTGCCTTTTTTTTTGACAGGTTATTCTTGGCAAAATTCAATTATAAAAAGAATTTTTGAAATAAGATTAGAAACTTAAAAGTTGAAGAAAATAGTAGAGAAAGTTATGCACTTTGAATCTCGCATTTTGTCACTATCTTTCCAAATGTTTGAACTCTAGTGAAAAAAAGAAAGTTTTTTTAAAAGTAAATCATCCGCACTGTGAAGGCGTGATATTGCTAAGCCTACTGAATTCAACTAAAATATTTTTGTTTAATTCTTCTGACGCTTCTGGGAGCAGTGAACATCAAGTTCAGGTCCTCAATTCCGGAAAAAACAGCCTGCGCAACTGCAGCTACTTGAAAACTAGCTCATATTTCAGTGTGTAAGCCTCTCCCATTTAGGATCTAAGAACCAATTATAAACAAAAAATGAACAACGCACAAGAAAGTCTTCAATTTTATCCAGATTTCTGCTTCAAAAACAGTTAATTTGTAGCAGTTGCAAATTACATAATTTAAAGTTTTATGTAGAAAAAATAACGCCTAAAATTTGTTACTTTTAGAACAAATAGATATTTGAACTGAAATGCAGCTTAATTAAAGGAATAGACGCCTAATATATCAGAAAAGCTCCTTTTTACCAAATAAAAATGATTAGGTAATTAAAGTCTTTTTTTTCATATAACTTAATCCCGAAAAAACAAACTAAAACATTAATTTAAAGTAAAGTCACGCTCTTTTGAATTCGAAGTTATTCAGTTAACAGTCATTATTTCTTATATAGTACACCTCCAGTCGCTTGAAAATTCAAAATTAATTTTTTTTTTTGTAAGACTGTCGCAGAAAAAAAGTAGTAATTTTGAAGACTCGAGAAATAAAGAAACAGCAATTGTGACAAACAGAACTTCAGAACTAACGGTTTGCATTTAGATCTTCTTCACTTCCTGGTGGCAGATACTTCTTGTAGGCATCAATTAGTAGAGCATATCGCGCTATATTTTGATGTATCACATCCAATCGAAGATTAATAGATAAGTCTCCATTCTTGATGCCCTAGAAGCCTGTGGTCAAATACGCTGTATACAACAAATTCACAAACTGTGATTAAAGTTCCAAAGACAGTCAAAAGAAAACTTAGAGTCGACGCAATTGGTACCATAGCTTCTTTGAGCTCGTCAATTTTTAATGCTTCAGAAAGTTGTGTCACCAACAGTTCCTTTTTCTCCAGAAAAGAAAAACAAACTTTGAGTTCAGGACCATACTTCTCAAAGCAAGAAACTATATCCGGTTGAAAAGGGTTCCTAGAAGAAAGTACAAAACAGATTAATCGATCAAACGGCTAGTCGCATATAACGAAGTAGAAAATGAAGTATCAGAACTAGTTTTTGACTAATTTGAAGCAGTTTTATTGAATTTTTGAAGGTCAAAAAAAATATCCGTTATTGAAACTTAATCATCAACAAACCAAATGTACGATTAAAAAAAAAGGAAAAACAACAAAAAAAGGTGAAACGAACACAGAATACATTAATAAAGTATCGCTAATGATGCAATAAACAGTTGCAAAAATACGACAAATTAAAGCTTGTTCTTTGGGTGAAAACTGTTATAAAAAATAACAGATAATTTTCTTTTAGGTAGAAGCAGTTGTGTGTGTACTTATATAATAAACCATATTCTGTAATCTTTTAACTCGCAAATTGATAATTCTCTGTTAACCATCTGTCTGCATATTAATACTCTCCTTATAAACGTTAATAAAACAGTAGAAATGTAACTATTAATAGAAGATTATTTTTACCAGCAGCTCCATTTTTTTTCCAATTCTTTCAGAAAGGCACAATGTGATCGTCGAATTAACTGTAGTTCATCAATTATTTGACCGATAAAATACACGTTTCCAGCCAAATCTATCTTACGTTCTTTGGGTAAGTTATTATAAGCTATCTGTCCAGCAACCAGTATCTAAAGATTTTTACTAAAATTTGCGCTTCATCCTTTCACGAATAAAGATAAGCAGTCTTACGGAATTAATCGAATTAAGTTCATCAACAAAACTTTTTTCCTTCTCACAAATTTCATGAGCAGCTGCGGAAAGTTTCTGCATCCGTTGATCATCAGAACCATCTGATTTTGACCGCAGTTGTTCTTTTGATTTTTGCTGAAGAGAGCATATAAGCAATGGCTGAAGTCGAGAAAATAATAAATGAACAAATTACATGAAAAAGAATCTAATGACTACTCAGTAAAAGAATTTTCGAATTACTGTAACCTTGCAACAAACTGAATGTCGGTTAAAATAAAGCAATTCTTGCTTCAAAAATCGATTGAGTCACAAGGCTTCTTACAGTGTTTCATTAGATCATCAATCAGGAAATAAAGAATACTTTTGTTTAAAATGATTTTCAGAAGTAAGATAAGCAGTTATGCATGCTTATAAGGTTTTTCAATACTATTCCATAAATTCAATTTTTAATCCAAAGAAATCCATATTTAAGTAGTTCATATTATGAGGTTAAATTCACTAATCACATATCCATCGAATAAACTTAGAAGCAGACAGAAGATAACAGTTTCAAATTAAACAGCACCAACATCTCTTAAAACAACGCTCTTTCTCTTTTCGTAACTATAACTTTCTCTTAAACCCGCTCCAAACACCTCTGGCACTACTGGTTTCCTGAAAGTTGATTCCATTATTCTGAAAGAAAATCAATGACTGTCTTAAAGTTCCTCTCAACAGTTAAATTCTGATGAATAACTAAGTGCAATATTAATTTTTAAAATCTTTTAATCATCAGCTTCTAAAAAACCAATTTGAAATCATAAACTTACGGCGGGAGGACCGGCTTAGGGAGGACATTCGGGACGTTTAGTTCCTTTTTATTTCTTTGCTCTAAGAACTTAAAAAACAAATTGAATTCACTGTCAAATAATTTCAAGATTTTTTTTCAATCTTCAATCAATGTTAACCAAAACAATCACATACGACACAGTTCTATCATCAAAAAATTTGTCGCTCAATGACAACATTCCTGTGGAAACAAAAAACATTAATTTTTTTTTGCCGTCAAAAAAACCATTGCAGGTCGATAACGCATTTGTCAACTTACATTTATTTTTTTCAGCGTTGGAGAAGATTTTGATTGAAGCATATCTAATTCTGTCCCGTTTAAAGGTCTATGAGAGATACCAAAGACGCCAGCAGCAGTTTGCTTTTGGCGCATAGAAATTGCAGATGATCCATTCACTTCATTGTCAGACCGATCAACAAACTTTTCAAAAAATTGCACCCTGTTTTTCAACGTACCCATATTCTCAAAAAAATTTTTCAACTATAATTTCTATATCACCATCTAATGACAAAGTAATCGTTTTCATCTTTTCCAAAGGAATAAAAAAAAA